GGAAAGTCCTGTTTAGCTCGCCAAGTAGCTTCTGATCCACCAAAAAAATTTGTGGGTGGAGCAGTTGAACTTGGATTTGGGCAATGGTGTAGTCGAGCTGCATGCAATGGCAGTAAAGCTGAATATCAGAAGCGTTTGGCAAGGAAAATTAGCAAATTCTTGGTGCAGATTGGATTTTGGAAAAAGATTAAGGAGGAAAATAGTGGAGATCTCGATTATGTTTGTTGCTTGCTTCAAGAAGCCTTAAATGGAAAAAGCATTTTAATCCTTCTTGATGATGTATGGGAGCAGGACATAGTTCAGTGGTTCGCTAAACTGTATGATAATGATTGTAAGTACTTAGTAACAACAAGAAATGAAGCTGTCTATGAAATTACAGAAGCTGAAAAGGTAGAGCTAAGCAAGGATGAAATAAGGGGGATAAGCAAGGAAATCCTCCTCTACCATAGCCTCCTTAGCAAAGAAGAGCTTCCGGTACGTACCCTTTCCTTTGGTAGAATGACTTAGTTCACGTATAGGCTCTGATAATTGTTTGGTGAAATTTTCCTCAATCCCAGCATTTATTTTGTTAATTCATGGTAACACACACATGATGAACTGTTTTAGCGTGGATATATCTATAAGAAAATCTGGTTTAGGTCCTATAGGATGTCCACCCACCCATATGTATGCCATTTATGTAGTAAATGAGTAACATGTCACTCCAAAAGCATCATCCATGGTCTTGGTCTTTATCAGTAATTGTGTATGCCCTGTGTGGAGTTGGGATTCATTAATGAACAGAAGTTGTGGAGGTTTGTTCAATGAGATGGCATAGCCTCTCATTTGCTATTTGAAACCCCAAATAGCAGCAGAACTTCTCGCTACAGTTTACCGTTGGTTTATACCCCACAAGTCATATTCCTTTTGTGTGTGGACCCCCCTGGATGTTAAATGACACAATCTCTGTTCTGCATTCTTCTAAACTTAAAGTTGTCATCTAGGTCTTTTTTGCTCATTTTGAGAAAAGAAGTCTTTTTTCTTTAGGTTCCTTCCTAGATTAATTACGGAACTTATTTAATGGAGGATGAAAATATGCTGGTTGAGGGATTAAGTTATCTAAGACTTTATTTTATATTTTACAGGTTTGATTGTAATCTTTACATATATTAAGGCTATTTTGGATTATTTTGGTTATTTATACTAATTAGTGTTTTACTCTTTTTTCTGAGTATTAGAGTTTAAGGGTTATGTTTGGTATTTTTAATTTTATTCAGGATTAGGTTTAGTTATTAATACTTATGTTATTAAAGTTTCGGGTAGGCTTGAATTTATGAATTATTGATATATTCTGGACATTTGAATAGTGAGGATTTCTCCACCCAACCCCGCCCCTGTTGATTCTTTCTAGTTTTCTCTTCCTAGTTCTTCCCTCTCTCCCTATTTCCTCTGTTTCTCCCCAATTGCTTTTGCCTATCTCTGGATCTTACTCTAAAGTTCTTTTATCTATCACTTTTCCTTGTTATAGATCACTTGTTCTCGACTGATTCTTTGCTTTCACACATCAAAGATTTGTATATAGAAACTAAACCAAAATAGTTCTGTAAATCCTCATATCTTATTCTTATTTTTTTCAGAATTAGTTCTCAGTTATATGCTCTTTGCTACCTTTGTCAGGAGCTTCATTTAAGAACTGTATTAACTATGCATGATCACCATAGAATAGGGGTATGTTACCCTTGAGATTTAATTGCACCATTCTCCGTAGTATCTGCACTATCCTTATTTTGAAGAGATTAAATGCTTGATTTGCATCACTTTCGTTGCATATTATGAGTACCAAATATATTCTTCCTCTAAGCAATAGGTGTCTGCACAAACCTGCTTAACCTTTGCCCACCTTCTGATGCAATCTAGCTGCTTTGAGATAGTTTGTTTAGGGATGCTTTGATTGCCTAATATTTTCTGAACCAATAGGCATGGTTATGCGTTGCTCAATGTGAATTCTTTTTTGTGAGGGGAGTGTGAGTATCTCTATGCCACATGAAACCTTCTACAGAGCTGTCTGAAACAACTTTAAAGTTGACAAATACCTTAGATACTATATATGCAAATTTTCAGACATTCTCAAAGATCTGACTTAGACAGAAATTAAGGTCTTTTGATAACTTATGTAAATTTTCATGATCATTTTTAGGGAACCAGAGTTCAATATGAACCTAAGTTGAGAACTTTATAAATTTCTAACCTCGCAAAACCATAATGAACTTAAGTTAAGATTCATCCAAAATGCTAAAATGTAGCATATTACATAATAATTAACGATCAGTATTTACTCTTGGTTTTTAATTGCATTTTATTTTAATAGTTTTATTCAATGAAAACTTCATTTACTGTTCTGAGTTTATCCTATCCTAATAGGTCATAGCAGAGAGCTTACTTGAACGATGCGGCCACCACCCTCTAACAGTTGCTGTTATGGGAAAGGCTCTCAGGAAAGAAGTAAGAGCTGAGAAATGGGAGAAGGCTATAACCAATCTATCAACATTTGCAACATGTGCACCAGGTCCTGTCTCATATGTGAATGAGAAAGATGCTGAAGACACGTTAACCATTTTCGGTTCGTTTGAGTTTAGTCTAGAAGCAATGCCTGTGGACTCAAAGAGGCTCTTCGTTGCTCTTGCTGCTCTTTCATGGGCAGGACCTGTACCAGAAGCTTGTGTAGAGGCTGTATGGTCATTTCTTGGGCAGGAGAGCTTGTTTTCTCTCATTGTCTGCAAGCTTGTTGAAGGGTCTTTATTGATGAAAGTAGACATGGATCCCTTGTACCAAGTACATGACATGGTTTTGCTGTACCTTGATAGCAAGACTACTGATTCAATTGAGATGCTACTACATGGATCTACACCCGAAAAAACTGCATTTATTTGCCCTTGGCTCCTTATTTTTGGGAAAGAGAATGTCAAAAAGATTGTTGAACAGAGGATGAAGCTTTTCTTCGAAATTTTAGAAGAAAAACAAGCGGTTATCACCTTAGAATCCATTATTCAGGCTCTAATGGCAAGCAACTCCATTTCTGAACTTGAAGCAAGCAGGGTGAGCTTTAGTTGGATATTGGGACCCAGGATTGCAGATATCATCTCAACTAATTCACAGAGTCTGATTGCAGTGTCTGCAGAAGCCATCATAAATATATTTAGTAAGACTGATTACTGCAGCTATTTTCCATCCCTTGAAACTGCCAGTACAGTTGACAAGTTGGCAAGTATATTAGAAAGTTGTGAGGATCCTGAAATCCAAACAAACGTTTTAACCATCCTTGCCAAGCTTGCAGAATTTGGAAGCCCAGAGATTGTTGATAAGGTGCTTCAGAGTATCCCCTTTAACCAGCTCGCATGCTTGCTCTCTCCCGATGCCAAGGAATGGCATGAGAGCATGTTTACAATATTGATGTCATTGACCAAAGCTGGAAAGTCAAAAGCAGTTGAGAGAATGTTTGCTTTTGAGATTGAGAAGAATCTTATCAAACTTATTGAGAGTGGATCTGAAATAGTGCAACACCATGCCATTGTCACTTTGAAGGCATTTTATGAGCTGGCAGGCCCTTCATCAAATAGTTCTCTTCGACCTGCAAATCTAGACCTCTTGCCATGGCAAGTGAGACTGCGTCTGGATAGGTTTGTTATGTCAGACCGGAACATTCCCCTTTCACCAAAGCCACAAACTTTTGACGACCTCATTCACAAGGTGCTAGACTATGACAACAAACAGGTATTGGAGGCAATGCAAGATCTCATACCAATAATTGAAAAAGCTGGAGACCCAAGTTTCAGAGAAATGATTCTACAAAGTCCCCTTATTAGAAGGTTATCAGAACTTCTGCAATCCGGACACACAGAACATAATCCTGTGAGATCTGAATCTGCCTTTTTACTCATGAAGCTAGCTTACTCTGGTGGAGAACCCTGCATTAAGAAATTCCTAGAGTACGATGTTATTCCTGAGCTGGTAAAGATGATGCAGTGCCACATTGCAGAGTTGCAGGATTCGGCCTATACGGCTCTGCATCAAATGCTTTATGGCAATGGTGGGGTTCTTGTATTGAATAAGATCTTCCTAATGGGTCTAATAGATAAGATAGCTCACGCACTTGAGAGCAAATCTTTGAAGACTCGGGAAGTGAATGTGCATTTTATTTTGGATATTGTTGAGGTGGGAAATAAAAACTGCTTAGAGCGGATGCTGTCTTTGCAAGTTGTGGAGAAACTCACAAAGTTAGAGAAAAGTGGTGGGGGCTCTGGTGAAAATGTGGTTGGATTTCTGAAGGGAATGGATAAGTGTAAGCTTCTGTCAGTGGCAGAGCGAAAGGTGATGAAGCAACAGGTGGTTAGAAGGGTGAGGACCTCCTTGAGAGGCCACAAATGTGAAGCTCGGACTTTAGCAGCTTTAGATGCTTTCCTCTCTGGAGGGTCAAGGGCTGCAAGTAGTAGTGGCAGTGGTAGAAATAGAAAGTTATCTAAGACTTGAAAAGAGAATTGTACTGGCTCTGTCTGGCTTTTAAGGCATGGCCTTCTTGCTGCAGCATTCAGATTCATTGTGCAAAGAATGAATATATTGTTTTTCTCAATTTTTCATGCATACTATATGGGAACGTTCTTCTTTTCTTTTTGACGAGATTTGAAACCTTCAAATGCAGTTTCTTGAACATTCTTTCTGGTTTCTTGGCTGCTAAATACTGCAGAATTAATGAGAACGACTTCCATTGAGATCCCCACGCATACTAGCAATGTTGATCTTTCTTAGTACCCACTTGTACAATCAGCTCAGCAAATGACAGCTTTTACACAAAACTATCACGCATGCTATTGAACATAACCCTAGATCAGCCAAAATGGAGGAAAGCATTGATGTAGCCAACTCCACCTCATTCAAAGCTTTACATTTATGGAGTTGAATCAGGTATTATCATCCATGATATTGATGCCACCAAATGCCAAACAAATTAGATCATTTCATCAATATTATCCAAAAAAACAAAAATGAAATAATTTAGCTTATTTCTTTATCTTAATTTTCTCTTTTTCCTTGTTCAAGTTACATCTGTCTTTGCCCAGCCCTGAATGCACTTAAGAGTGAATGAGCAAACAGGTCTGGTATTAGGCTACTGTAACTGCTACTAAATACACATCAGTATGAAACATCTTTGTCCTAAAGAAGAGGGAGAAGGCATCATAGATAGACCTTTTTCAGGTTTAGCTTGTCAGCTCCTCCATTAAGCCCTATTGGTACAAGGAAAATAATGAAAAGTTAAGTAACGATTCAGCATCTCATGAGACAATTAGAGCTAACTAACAGGAAGGAGCAACCCACCCGTGCAATGTATTGCTCAGCATCAGTTCGTTTGAGAAAGTGCATGGAGTGGCGAGCAAAATTGGCAGATTTATCACTGAGAATTATTCCGCTACCCAAATCTTCAAGGACTCTAACTTTGATGTAGGGATCTTTCGGAGGCACCATATCCTGACAAACCAAGAACTTTAGCCATTGCAATCTAGTTGACAGATGCTATGTAATGCTTTATGAGAAAGAAACAAAATCTGCATATTAGAAGACCACCAGTTTTTGGTTTATTATTTGCTTGAATACAGTTTTGTTATTTATTAGCCAGTTTTCATTATTGGCATGGTATCTTTCAAACACTTTCATTCAGTTTTCTGTAACACCAACAACTGAATCATAATTTTCTTAACGGCCTCCATTTTAAATTTTCAATCGTAGAAGGTTTAGATTGAGATAATCCTAGAGTTGTAAGCTCACTAATAAAATGTTTAATTCATATGAGAAGTGGGAGAAAGACATTACCACATTCACATTGAGGCTCAGTTGTGACATGTATGATTTCAAAGATTTAGAATGATCTTTGAAATATTGTTCCTCTGAGTCACTGAACTTCTCTTGAATTTCGCGTGGAAGTTCATGAAGCAACCCTACCTTCCATGCCAAATCTCGTATAATATCTGCTCGGTTATACCTGTATAAAATTAGCAGGTGATGATAATGAACCACATCTAGTAACAAGCAAACTAGCAAGAAGCAGTTTCACTAGGAAATGACAACACAAAGTATGAGATACTTACACATATGCCATTAGGCAACGCTTGTTGCGAATTAAAGAAAGGTGGTGGATGAGTGCTCCATAGTGGTCTGCAGTTCTAGCTGTTAGAACTTCCAGTCCCTCCTCTTGCATTTTCCTGTTGTAACATAAATCATGTTGATGATGGGGCAGACTTGATAAACGTGCAGCTAAACTTTGATCCTAAAATGAAAAAATTATATAAAAAGAGGTGTTCCCAAGAGTACATCATAGATTGGGTACCAAAAATCTCTGGAGAGAATATTTCATTAGTCATTTTTCAACCTCAAGCTCCATTGCAAGTTCATACACACAGCCTACTGCAATAGCACCCATATATTTGAGAATTGAGGTAAAATTCAAGGTCACAATATTGCAGGTTTAAGGGTATAACTTTACCAGCAATTGTAAAAATTTGACATCCAGCTGATTTCAAGAATTTTACACAACATACACAATGAATCTCTAGGAGGTCGTAGAACAAAACTTGGAACATAGAGGGGAAAGTTTGATGCAGATCCATTGACTAAAGAAATGAAAGAGGTAGCACCACCTAATCTTAGCAGGTCGATGTAGTTCCAAGAAGAGGGGAATAAGGAAGGGCAAATCATTTTATATATATATATTCTTATTAAAGTAAATTTTTTTAATTAATAATTTTCATATTAAAATAATATTGATTAATTTTTTATTAACCTTAAACTCTTTTTTTAAATGTGTTGTACTTCATAAAATTTAAATTTAGCTATACTGAAAAAAAAGAATTTATATTCCATTGAATCATCGAAAAAGTTTAAGCAGTGAAAAATGTTTCTTTATCCTACACCTTTTTTCCTCCTATATTACAGAAATGCATCAGTTTAATTTAAATATTATATTTATGATAAGTTGATCTACCATAAATTGATAGATCTCATCCTTAGATTATTCAATGAAATTTTGTCACATCAAGAAAGACAAATAATAAACGATAAAATTATAAAGTCAAATCGTATTAGTCATAAAAAACTATGAGATTTATATAGCTAGTGAGTTTCAATTATTTTGTCTGACTAAAAGCAATATACATGATGGCTACAAATATAGAAAGGTTTTTCTTAATTAATAGATGATCGTTTTACCTATACAGATGATTAGCTTAGGAAGCTTGAATGTGAACTGATTTTGAGTATTTGTGTTTGAACAATGTATTAAATTAACTATTTGATAAATGATATGATTTGTTTTATCTCTTATCATAATAATTTAAATTTATTTTACATACAAAAATAAGCAATAAATTTTTAATAGCTTAATAATTAAGTATGATATAAATTTTTCAAAATAATTTAACAAAATAAGGAAACATAATATTTTGAAAGTCATTTAATGAAATGAACGAGAATTTTATAGAATTAATAGAATATGCATTTCAATATTATGCATATTATAAAATAATCAAGGTAATAATAGATTAAAAAAAATAATGAGGTTATAGGCAATCAACTTTTTACTAAAACAGATCAATTATAATCTAATGATAATCAACAAAAACGTTATTATATGTTGTGATTTGTCTTACTAATCAATCAAAATTACTTCATATATATACTTATAAAAGTTAAATTATAATTTAATGAATATTAATAATTTTGTCCTAAAATTAGGTATTTAATTGTGACGTAATACCTCTACAAGTTACTCAATGATCAACTTATATTTATTTATGAGTGGTTTAAATATTATATGTATGACAGAATATTTTTTATTTTTTCGCTTTTCCTTTTGCTTACGAGAGGGATGATAGTAAATTAAAAAAAATAATGAACTTTAACATGATAATTTAAGATTTTAATAAATTGGTCCAACAAATAAAATAATTTTTTTAATAATCTCCACTTATTAGTCAACCAAATGTTAATTAAAGAACACATACGTCACTCATAACTAATTGAATTTAATTATATCTATAAGTAATTTGGATTGATTTGTGGTAAGAAAATTATGACCTATTACTTTTTTTTAGTTATAAGTGATTTATCACTAATTATGGAATTATATGCCCTTTTGTCATTAATTATAATTAATTAATTTTACTCTATTATTATTTACATAGTGAATAAATCACTATATAACTTTCATATAATTAATACAGAGTGTGTCTTAACAAATGTTTAAAATTTGACTTATATCATTTTCTATATATATAACTAACAAGGAGTGATTGATCACTGAAAAAGTATTTGTCCAAATTCATGTGTTTTTTTTTTTTACTTTTATGATTTTAAATTTATTTATTAAATCTTAATTAGTTATAGTATACTGTTTCCTATTTTAGCCATAAATTTTGTATAATTTTAGTATTTTTCCTAAAATACATTTTTTACTTACATATATTTCATGTCTTTTTTTTTTAAATGTTAACTAATTGAAAATTGACCAAATCATGATTTAAACACTGATTATGTTTGATATTATAATTATGGCATTTAAAAATTAAATCAACATAAAGCGTATGTGCAACAAAACTAGTTAAAAATACAGCTAAAGAAGAAAATAGCAACAAGGAATTACCGTATTAATGACTGAAGTGCATTATGATGTTCATTGCATTCTTCAATTACTCGTTCAAATAGCTCATTCTACAAGATCACATCACATACAACAATTTAAACCAGTACAAATTCACTTAAGCACAGTTTTGACAGCATATATTATGAAATTTAATAAATAAAAATTCTAACTGAAGGGCTTAAGAATAGCAAGTATAACAAGGTAGGGCTCAAAGAATAAGAACCTGGAGGTCGAGGGTTAGGCAAATCACAAAAAAACAAAAGAAAGAAAGAAAATGGTTAAGATGGATTCAATACAATGAGTACTCATCTAAAGATCTCTATGAAAAATGATGAAAACAAGTAGTCTCTCAACACTTGGCATAGCAAAAAGGAAGCATATCAAAATTTGAGGCCTTTATGCTGGTAGCCAGCCAGTGGCATGCAAAAACATGATGATAATGTCATTAGGCAAAATGTATCCACATATACACCTCTGTGTGAGTTTCTGCTTGGAAAGAATCTACAATTATACAGAAATACAAAGGACATCTATTCTAAATTACTAATAGCCTTACACATCCAACACATGCAAAATCCTCATCAATCTAACAGAGGTTATATTACGTTAACAATAAATCATCAATCTTGAGATATATATATATAGACAAAATAAGCTGTTTACTTTCATGCAAATATTGTGCATACACATCCAAATTCAAAGACAAGCAGAATACCCACCAAGCAAATTTTCAATATATTGTAACAACTAGGATCATTCGTTTCTGAAACATTTAATATATATGCAACAGAAATAATTACAATACAAAGCGAGCAAACAAGCAGCCTTACACTGACAATCTTGAGATGCCTTTTTCCATCACTGGCAAACTCTCTCACCAGCTCCTATGACTCTCTCCCGTGCATCTTCTAAAGATTAAAACTTTCAGTACCCCCTTCAACTCTAATTTTGCCTTCAAACTCCAACATTTTTTGAAACATTTCATTTATGCAAACGATTTTAAATATTTTTCCAGTTAATTAATACATATGATTGCTATAATAGCTATTAGAATATACAAAGAAACAAAGATGCAAATATTATCTCAAACTCATAAGATTCTAAGTTGAAAAGGGGATGGATTTGATTTCAACTTTCCAGTTAGTATATAAATTGACGTATCTTTGGAACAGTAAGAATCTGTTTAACTCCAAGTTCCATTAACCTATTGCACATCCAAGACTTGAGAAGATAATTGTCTTGTTCAAATCAAATATACTTACGTTTCTTGATTCTAGATAATTCTAGATTAAGTGATATTAAAACAGAGCATTAGAAATTAAAAAAATAATACAAATTAAAATTCTTGCTGCTTTTATCCATTTGTCCTAAATGCTTGACTACATTTCTCTCTCAATATCTTATAAACATACACTGATAATTTTCACCTAAGAACACTATAGATTATGAGCATATCTCCCATAAAAATTAAAAAATAAATAAACCTAAAAAGCCTTGTTTCCCTTTAAGATATGCTAGGTGAACAACCTATACTGCGGTTTAACTTTTCACTTTGTGTGGCAATGTCTCATTCAGATTTCACGGGTTTATTGAACATCTACATAAATTGCTTTTTTTATTAATGATAAGATTGGAAGTTGGAGTTTTTATGCCAAAACTTGTTGGGTTCTACCAACTCCTTTGTTAAAAAAAATGAATTCCCAATTTCTTCATCTTTGAAAGAAAGAAAAAGAAAAGACGATGGATTTCAATAACTTCATGGATTAACCTAACCATAACCCCCTTCCTAACCAGTGGCCTTTAAGGACATCTCTACGATGCTAATAATTTGATTCAATTAAAAGGAAATTAATACAATTAAGAAGTAGGGTCTTGTACCTTGACCACCTTAACTTAATGCATGCAAAAGCATCAGCAAAACAAGCTGGGAGCAACCTGGTTAAGGGATCCACCCCTTGTTTGATAATCTCTAGAATTCGTGAAATTTTCTACCAAAGAAACACAGAACAAAAGAGGGGAGAGATTCTCTTGCAAACCCAGCCCCCAACACGCCAGAAATTGAAATTTATTTTAGTACAATAAATGTGCCCATTGGAAAAGATTCTTCCAAGGAATCAAAAGGAAAGAGAATAACAAAGAAACAGCCTTTTGTTATTACTTAGGAAAACAAAAAGGAAAAGTAGATCAAATCAAACCCCTACATGCATGTATTTAAGTAACAAATAAGTGCTCAAAGTTCCCAGTTAGCTAGCACGATTCTGCTGAAACTAGTATCAAATAGGTTTAATATTTTTCAGTTAAAAAAATCTTAAGGAATTTAAAGCTCCAGAAGAAGTAAATTAGGAATTTAAGACAAAACAAACCATAGGCAAAAAAGAAAAGACATTTTAACAAGGGTATAACCTTATAGGTCAATAACATAGATGCCATTAAATTTGGGAAACTTTTGTCTGCATATCTTCTAATATGTGTACAGTGACATTGCCAGGTTAAATTGGATGCAGAGGCTGTAAAGAAAAATTATATTTCAGTCATAACAATGAAATCTTTTATTCATCATCCCAACCCCTTTTCTTTTTTAATTTTCATACCAGCTATAATGAACTTTCTTAGTAAGAACTTGAACTTATGACCAAGTTATCAATATAGAAGATCTCCATAGCAATTGAGAGAACAAGTTAAAGAGGCTAAAAATGGAGACCTTGGACCTTTTCATAAGCTGATGTATAATCAAATAGAATGCACTCATATCATGCCAAACATATAATCTAAAAAGCTGAGAGGTAACTTAGAAGCTATGAAAGAAAATATGAGCTGTACAAGACTTGGCAACTCACTGCCACCCACTTGCCTCAGTCAAAGGCAGTCCATGAACAATGTCAAAAAACATGAAGCTAGTCTTTATTAAAACCTTTTAGTTGCGCTACTCTTATCTGCATTTCTTCAAAATTTGAAACCTTCAGTTAGCACATGTATTACCTAAATATTTGAGGTCCATTTGATTGATGCTTTTTAACTTTTTGTTTTTGTCTCTGGTTTTCTATTGTGTCTTATTATTTACTTTTTCCTTTCTATTCATTTGTTGCCCAAAAAAAATGTAAAAGGCAAAAGCATCAACCAGATGGAGCCTCAGTTAATGCCTTCAAAAGCATTAAAAGACATGAAGGTTAACCATGAAGGATACTCTTAGCTGTCTAAAATACCTTCTTTTGCTTTTAAATGATTAATGTAATAGCTTATTACTTAGAATACAAACTCTCCTAGTACACTACCATTTTTTCTTAAAAAGGAAAAGAAGATAAATGAAAAAAAACAACATATTTTTCCTAAATGTGTTCACTAAGCTTAATTTTCAGGCCAAGACAACTTGGAAAAGAAACAGCCAAAATTTGCAGAATGAGATTACCTCACTCTGCAGTTTCTTTTGGCTGCTTTTGAAGTCACATCTGTGGCAAGTACCCCAATTCACAAAGGGCTCCCAGCTTCCAGCAGCTTCAACTTGGCTTCCTTAAGCTCCTTGGCAACACACTCACCCATGTGAAGGGAGGGAACAGAACTCCCCTTAAACACGTCATCATGCCAGGAGTGTAAAATATGACAGGCACAACAATGCAGTGAGCTCCTGATTTCTCAAGGAAAACCCTTGTAATCCATAGATTTTCAACAATCTGGGCATGATGGAATTGTGAATGTTCATTTCTACAGCACAGAGAAGAAAAATTCCTCTCCAGGGATGAAAGCTCCCTATTCAACAGTGGATCAGAGCAAAGAAAAAAAGGCATGCAACTCTTTCATTGTCTTTACTCCAACACACTAGTTTTCTCATGAAATTGAGGGTAGAATGAACAGATACCCCTGCAATTATTTTGACAGCATTTGGATGACTAAGCAACGACCCAGCAGAGCTGCTTAAAGAGGCTGTACCTGAGCTTGAACTTTTCCTAGATTCAGGAAATTTCCCACTTTCATCAGTGTGTAAGATCACTGAGCATGGGGACATAGCTAGAACTGGATTCAACCTTCTCTTACAAAGATTTCTCTGCCTAGTTACACAGTCTGATCTGTGAGAAGGGCAACAATCCAGTGACATTAGCAAGCTTCTATCCAACACCTCTACATAAAAAGTATCAAATGGAACCCAACATATGGGTATAAGATTCTAAATTCCACAGGCAAATATGAGCTTCTGGCAACTGAAATCCACCTCCAAAAGCTAATTAATTTTAGTCAAAAATTCATTGTTCACCTGAGAAGGCCATACATAGAAACCATCTCAACAATAAAATCCCAACTTTCAGAAACTGCTAATTGAAAAACTACTCAAAAGGCCACTTATAGTATCTACTCCCTTGACTTCTACCTTCTACAACCAAAACCCACTTACAGAACTAGCCAAAAGTTCACACTTGATCATTCTTCAACCGTCAAAATCCAAAACTTTATCATAAACCTTACAAACAAAAGCCAAGCTTTTCTAATTTTAGCTTGCAAAAGATAAAACTGCTCAAACAAAACAAACCAATTCCAAACAACAACACTAACCAATTAGGATTGTCCTAGCATATTCCAGACACAAAAGCAAAAACCAATTCAAAACCCAGGAGGGCTTCCCTCTCTACGCTTCCAGAGTCTGAAAAAGAGAAGCCAAACGAAAAGAACCAAAAATCAACAACGGCAAAGAGAAGGCACAAAAGCTCCGAGCTCTAAGGACTTTCTTGATATGCAGCAGTAATTTAGAACATCTATTCTGAATTACTAATACCCTTGCAGAATCAACACTTGCAAAATCCTCATCAATACTTTAGAAGTAAACCGTCAATATTCAAAAATATTTAGACAAACAACCTATTGACGTTAATGCAAAAACTGTGCACGCACACCCAAATTCAAAGAGAAGAAGCATACCCACCAAGCGAATTTTCAATACATTGTAGAAACTAGGTTCATTCATTTCTGAACATTTAAATAAATAAATATATATATATATATATATATATATGCAGCAGAAATAACTTCAATACAAAACGAGCAAGCCAGCAGCCTTACGTTGAAAATCTTGAGATGCCCTTTTTCACCACTGGCAAACTCTTTCACCAGCTCGTACGCCTTTCTCCCGTGCATCTTCTAAAGATTAAAACTTTCACTACCCCCTAAACTCTAATTTTACCTACAAAATTCAACATTTTTTGAGACATTTCACCGAACACGTTGCATAATTTAAAAATATATATACATGCAAGTGATTAAGCTTTAAGAAGTGTGCAAAGAGTGAAAGAAGAAAAGAGATGTTAAAAAGTCACGAAATAGTAAAAGTGGGTTTTTAGAGAAAACAAGCATAAGTACCTGTTTTGGGTGTTTGGCAGAAAAGAAAGAGCGAGAAAGTGAAGGAAAGTGAAGAGAAAAACAAGATTCTTTGGATCTAATAGCATGGTGGAGGTTTTGGCGGGTACATTTTTAATTTTTAAATTCAGCGCCACTAGATGTCTAAATTCTTTGTATTTGGGCTTTATTATGTTTTCGGCCAATCATTGATTAATGGATCTCTAGCCTCAGCATGTACACCGGATAACTTTAAAACAAAAAGACCATAATTAAAGAAAAAAATTAAAATTCCGGTTGGCATTTTTTATTTTTTGCAAAAAAAAGTAAATATATAAAAAAATCAATAAAAAAACTTAAAGATAAATAACAAAATGTAAAATTATAGCATGAGACTCTAACAATTCTCTAAACTATTTAAAAAATTTAGATAAGTTTTTATTTTTTTATTATGTTTAGTTAAATCTCTATTTTTTATTTGGAGTGAAATACACTCTTAAGATTAAAAGTTAACTAATTATCATTAATTAAAATATTATTTATCATTTTTATACCATGTGAGGTTAATATGAAACTTGAAAAATATGACACGACTATGTGTCACAATCATAGTACGAAATCATGTGAATCTCACATCGAAAAGATATGCTCATATTAGGTATTTAAGAGTTCACACCATCTTCAACTTATGAAATCTTTTTTGTGGAACAAAATCTTGAAACTAATGAGTTAAAGCAAACAATATCTCCCAAGTGTTAACATGGACCATGACACTAAGTCATCATATAATATCATTATTTGTTATGATATGTCAATATATCATGTCAATACTATGTCATATAATAGTTAATCAACATTAATTATAAGAGTATATTTAATTCAAAATAAAAGTATAATAATTTAAAAAGAATAAAAACTTGTTTAGATTTTTTTGAATGCTTGAGGAACTTTTCTTTAGGTATTGTGACTAAACATATCAACCTAACAAATCTAAATTATTTGAAGGTGCACTTTTTTCTTAAAGAGAAGTTAATATTATATATATACATATATATTATGTACACAAATTTAAATAGGAACATTTTATTATTTTGTAATTTAATTTGTAGCAAAGTTGGTCCCAAACAAAATGATGTTCATTTATTTACTAAATGGGGAATAATGGGTGATACATGTTGTAGTTAATGGTGTATATACTCAAAGCTGAAGCAAATGGCTGTATATGACATTTGTTTGGATATGGGATGTGAAACATGTTAGAATTATTTGTAGACTCGGGTCTCCCTAAGTCTAAGTTGTAGGGGTGTTAAGGTTTGTTGGTTGATTTTTATTTATATGTAATCGTAAGTCCAAGGCCAATTTGATTTTTGGCAACAAGCAATAAAAATTGCATACTATTTTTTTTAAAAAAAGACATAATATATAAAAAACTTCTAAATTATTTTAAAACATTTAAATAAACTCTTATATTTTTATTGTGTTTAATTAAGTTTTTGTATTTTTATTTTGAGTTAAGTAAACTTTGTACTTTTCATTATGAGTCAAATAAGCTCTTATGACTTATGATTGACTTAATTAAAATATCATTTGTTATTTTATGCCACGTGATACTAATGTGGCATATGCCAAAATATTATAATTGGTTATAATATGAAATGCTAATATATCATAATTGATAATAACATAACATGCTAATTAAAAATGATAACATGATCATGTGACATTTTTCACCCCCCATATCAATGTCATTTCAATGCCATGTGGATATAAAACGACAAGTGATATTTTTACTAATGATAATTAGTCACTTTATTAATTATAAGAGTTTATTTAATCTAAAATAAAGATATAAGAGCTTAGTTAAACGTTATAAAAGAATAAGAGCTTGTTTGAATATTTTTAAATAGTTTAGGAGTTTATTTAACTATTATATCAAAAAAATGATGTAAGTTAGCTCAATCATTGAAATAATAATAAAATTAATAAGTGACCTTTTTAATATGCTCCATTACTTATTTCATTTATATTAATTAAACTTGATAATTGAAAGTGATATTGCTTCCACGTTTAAATTTGTTTTTCTTGATTCATGACAATTCAAGAACAATAAGATAAAGTAAGATGCCAAACGTATTAAGTTATAACACTTTCTTGTTTCAAACATCTTTAAAAAAATTGATTTAAAGAAATCTAAAAAATATCATAACAATGAAATAATTTAATTAGAGGTAATAAGAGATTGAAAAATTATCTATTAAATTAAAAGAATTCTTACATACTCATTTTGGATCATGGTTTTTTCTTTTAACTTTTTAGATTAATATTTGATATATTGACAGTGTATAGTTTCTACACTATCAACTCATCAAATATTGTCAAAAGTAAAATTAAAAATCTTTAGAGACTTAAACTTTAATACTAAACCATTTTTAATAATTAATTAAATAAAAATTAAAAAAATCATTTTGTCTCTCCCTATAACTCCCTCACAACTTCTTTGATTGTTTTCTTGGACATTTTCAAATAAAAAATGATTTCATATCGAAATAGAAAGAAAATTGTGACTGTTGGAAATTAAAACCAAAAGAAGGGTTATGTTTGTTGAAAATAAAATAAATAAATAAATAAAATAAAACAAAAATAAGAAAAGAGTCATGTCTATTGGAAAAGACCAATAGGAGCAACTCTTTGAAACAGATACAAATAGTGTATGTTGAGAACAGGCATCTATGCCTATAAAAGAGGACCCTCTTTATCCAACGTACATAAAAAGAAAAATAGTAATATCTCTCCTTCTTCTTCCTCCAACATCTTCCAAGTTTTCTTTTATATTATTTTCTTGCAGAAAAAATATTATAGAAGTTTGATAATCTTGTTATACTCTGGTGAGTGCTCAGTGGATTGATTTCGTCAGTGCAAAACACTATCAATCACTAGGCTTCATTGTATCTTCGAGGTTTATATTCCGTTAACTCTTTTGCACACTACAAGCGAGGGCGAATAAAACCTTAAGGATAGTGGCATTGATACACGCCTTGAAGCCAATTTCTAAGTTTTTCAGTTTGGTGTTCTAACAATCTTAAGGTTTTAATCCCGTTCCAACAATGGTTGTTGTAAGTGGAACACTAAGAGAATTAGCTTCTGACTTTGTAAAATTAGATCGGTTTGATGGCAGTAACTTTCTAAAATGGTAGAAGAAGATGCATTTCCTATTATCAACCTTGAAATTTGTCTATGTTTTGACGACACCTAGACTAGAAGAAGGAGAAAATGAGTCTGTTGCTACAACGAGAGAGAGGCGAAAATGGGACAATGCCGATTATATGTGCAAAGGTCACATCTTGAATGGTTGCTGATGGCTTTATTGACACATACCAGAACAGTTACTGTAAAAGAATTATGGGACAAACTGGAAGCCAAGTACATGACAGAAGATGCAACAAGTAAGAAATTTCTTGTTAGTCGTTTTATTAATTATCAAATAGTAGATGGGCGTTCTGTTATAAAATAATTACAGGAAATTGAAAGAATGCTTAATCAGTTTAAACAATATAAAATGAACATGGATGAAACTATAGTTGTATCCTCCATTATAGACAAACTTCCTCCATCATGGAAAGACTTTAAAAGAAGTCTGAAACACAAAAAGGAAGAAATAACTCTTGAGGCTTTGGCAAATCATCTTCGAATTGAAGAGGAATACAAGAAACAAGAACAAGTCGCTGTTTCTGATGAAGCCAAA